GCACTCGTGGCACGATCGGGTGTAGAGGTGGACGGCTTTGGGGAGCTTTGGCCAGTAATACTTTTCACGAATACGGGCCAGTGTTCGGCTGTAACCGAGGTGTCCCGACGTCGCGTCGTCGTGACATGCTTGAAAGATCTCCTCCCGAAGGTCGGTCGGGATTACCAGCAACCACGGTGTGCTGTTGTCGCCGAAGTTCTCTTTGTAGAGTACACCTTGTCGAATGGCGAAGGTCGGCAATACTCGTGAGAAGACACGTGGCACGGCACCCCCACCCCCTTCCAGGTGCTCGATTAATGCGCGCAGCTCAGGATCGTCCCGTTGACGTCGTGCCATGTCGTCGGCGTTTACAGCTCCTAGGAAGCTCTCGTCGTCATTGTCGTCGCTGCAGCCGGAAGGAGTTTCGACGGGGGCTCTGGACAAGCAGTCGGCGTCGCTGTGCTTCCGGCCGGACTTGTAGACCACTGTCATGTTAAACTCTTGTAGTCGGAGGCTCCATCGAGCAAGACGTCCTGACGGGTCCTTCAGGTTAGCAAGCCAGCAGAGCGAATGGTGGTCCGTGACTACACGGAACGGGCTCCCGTACAAGTACGGGCGGAACTTCGTGATTGCCCAGACGACCGCAAGGCATTCTTTTTCAGTCGTGCAGTAATTTCGCTCCGCCTTGGACAATGTCCGACTTGCGTAGGCGATGACTCGCTCGGTGCCTTCTTGAACTTGAACCAGTACCGCGCCAAGTCCTGCGTTACTTGCGTCTGTGTGAATCTCGGTTTCCGCATCCTGGTCGAAATGTCCAAGAACAGGAGGCGTCTGCAGTCGTCGCTTCAGCTCGTCGAATGCCTGCTGCTGATCCTCGGCCCATTCGAACTTCTCGGCGTCCTTCGTGAGGTTTGTGAGCGGTGCGGAAATCCTTGCGAAATCTCGAACGAAGCGCCGATAGTAGGCACATAGCCCAAGGAACCTTCGCACGGCCTTCTTGTCTCTTGGCACTGGAAATGCTGCGACCGCGCGAGTCTTCTCTGGGTCTGGACGAATGCCTTCGTTACTAACCACGTGACCTAAGAACTTCAGTTCGTCATAGGCGAACCGGCACTTTGACGGCTTGAGAGTGAGCCCGGCGGTCTGTATGGCATGGAGAACCGTGCGGAGTCGTCGCAAGTGCTCGTCGAAGTCAGCTGAAAATACTACGACGTCGTCCAGGTAGACGAGACAGCTCTGCCACTTCAGCCCTGCCAGTACGGTGTCCATGACACGCTGGAAAGTTGCTGGCGCCGTGCATAGTCCGAAGGGCATCACCTTGAACTCGTAGAGTCCATCCGGCGTGACGAAGGCTGTCTTCTCTCGGTCCCGTTCGTCGACCTCGATTTGCCAGTAGCCGCTCTTCAGGTCCATCGATGAAAAGTATCGAGAGTGGCGCAGCCGGTCTAGAGTGTCGTCGATGCGGGGCAGTGGGTAGACGTCTTTCTTCGTAACCGTGTTGAGCTGCCGGTAGTCCACGCAGAACCGAAGAGTTCCGTCCTTCTTCTTAACCAGCACGACTGGTGAGGCCCATGGACTGCTTGAAGGTTGGATTATGTCGTCATTCAGCATCTCTTGAACTTGCTGCTGGATCACCTCCCTTTCCTTCGCGGAGACTCTGTACGGTGATCGATGCACAGGGCGCGCGTCGTCCTCGGTAACGATGCGGTGCTTGGCAACCGCGGTCTGGCGCACCTTCGACGACGTCGCAAAGCAGTCGCGGTATTCGGCGAGGAGGTTAACCAGCTGACGTCGTTTAGAGTCCGGAAGCTTAGGGTCAATGTCGAGCTGCGCTGGCGACGTACTGTCTTGCTGGGATGGCGAGAATTCGTCAGTAATCGCGGTGATTTCGGCGGGGTTTCGGAGTTCCTCGACGTGGCCCACAGCTGCACCTTTCGTGAGGTGTTGCGTTTCGTTTCGGAAGTTCGTCACGAGGGCCACAGTCCGCCCATCCTGAAGTTCAGCTACTCCCCTTGCGACGCCTATGCCTCTTCCCAGGAGCAATTGGTGGTTTCCCTCGAGAAGAACTTCACCATAGGAAGCTTCATCGATCCCGACAAGTACGAAAACACTCGACCGCGGTGGTAGGTTTACGTGGTTTGCGAGGACTCGGACCGTGGGTGACGTCGCTTGGGGTTCCTCCGATGGTGGAGCAGGTTTTCGTAGCGTCAGCCGGTTTGTTCCGAGGTCGATGACGGCGCCATACTCGCAGAGAAAGTCCATTCCGAGGATAACGTCCCTCGAACAGTCTTGTAGAATGACGAACCTGACAGGGCACGTTTCACCGTGGATCTCGACGCGAGCAGTACATCTCCCGACTGGTGTAATGAGATGTCCTCCGGCGGTTCGTATTTGGGGTCCTTCCCACGGCGTCATGACTTTTCGAAGGCGGCGGGAGAGCCTCCCACTCAAGACTGAGTAGTCTGCTCCGGTGTCCACGAGTGCCGATGCGTCGTGGCCGTCAATGACGACGTTTAGGTTGTTGGACACCGTTGCAGGGGCGTCGTAGCGATGCGTGGCGTCGGGGGAGTGGGAGCGCTCCGTCGTTCTTGGAGGCTCTTTACGTCGGTCGTCTTCGGCAACTCCACCTCCAGGGGTTGCCGCGCCTAGTTTCCCCGGCGAGGAGCGAGGGGTGACAGGCTTTCACGTCGGGGTCGGTGCATCGGCGAAGCTGGACGTCGCGGCGATGGCGACCGGAACTCTCGGCGGGACGCAGGCTCGGGGGACTGGGGTCGTCGCAGGTACTCGTCGATCTCCCGAGGGCGTTCACCATACCGGGGGCGCGGGTCGTTTGGGTGGAACCCGCGCAGCCCGAGTCGTCGGTATGGGCATCGGCGGTACACATGGTCGGGTTCCCCGCAGTGGTAGCAGAGCGGGCGTCGGTCGGCCGTTCGCCACACGTCGGTCTTCCTCGACGAGGGTTGCTCCGGGCGGACGTCCTGGACTTGCCCTTCCTGGCGTCGAGGATACTGTGGCATCGGAGGATCTCGTCGGGGTGGCGCCGTGGCCTGGCGGTTAGCTTGCGGCGGTCGTCGGGCCATGGCGGCGTAGCTCAAAGTCGGCTCCTCTGGCGTCGTCATGTTGATCGGAACCTCAGGTTGGAAGGCCCGATGAACTTCATCTCGCACGACCTCGGCGAGCGACAGGGAGGACGGGCGATCCATAGCGGGGAGCATCTTGCGGATTTCTTCCCGGACGACTTCACGGATGATGTCACGGATGCCTGGGAGGTCGGTACCGAGGTTGTATCCGGATGTCGCCAGAGTAGTCACGCCAGGGTGTCGCTCGTAGTGCCTGGCGCGTGCTAGTAGGGCACGTTCCATATTCGTCGCCTCCGTGACGAACCCGTCCACAGTTGTCGGGGGATTGCGAATGAGACCTCCGAATATCTCGCTTTTCACACCCCTCATCAGGTGTCGCAGCTTCTTCTCCTCTGTAGCCTGAGGATCGGCGCGGGCGCTCAGGCGAAGAACATCCTCGACGAAGCCGGTGACGCTCTCGTTGGGGCCCTGGGTTCTGGTTCGCAGTAGGTCCTCGGCTCTCTCTCGGCGGTGGTGGTTGCTGAACGTAGCCTTGAGATCAGTCTTGAACATGTCCCACGACGTCAAAGAGGACTCATGATTCTCGTACCAGTGCTTGGCGGTACCCTCAAGCGAAAAATAGACGTTGTTCAGGCGCTGCTCATCGGTCCAGCAATTGTGGCGGGCAACGCGTTCATACTGGTCAATCCAGTCTTCGACGTCTTCGTATTGCTCGCCGTGGAATGGAGCAGCCGTCCGCGGTACGACGGGCAGGTAAACGACGGCTGGAGCGGCCGGGGTCTCCGACTGGTTGGCCATCGTCGTCGTCCTCCTTGTTTGCCTGGTCCTGGGTGGCAAGGGTCCTAACTCCGGGGGTAGGCCAAGGTTCCGGCGACTTAATCGGATCTCGGTCTGGTCCTCGTTGGGTTCTTGGGGGCTTGTGTTCGGACTTGCACTCCGAGAACTCGGAGGGGAGCGCTGCACGGGCATGCGGTTACCCCGCACCTCCACCAAAATGTCCCGGGTGGTGACCAAAGGAACACTAAATAAACAGAAAGAAAGAAACGTTTAATGTGGCGAACTTGTGCCAAAAATAAAGAAGGAAACAGAAGAAAGCAGAGCGTCGCGGGCGTCGAAGTCGGCGTGTCAGCAGAATCGAGCGCTAGGGCGAGACTGACTCGACAAGGTCGCGGGCGGCCTCTTATCTAGAGTGCGCCGCTATCTCGAAGATTCGGCGAAAGCGGTTCGAGCGTCGGGTGATCGGGGCGAGAATGAACACGCACTTTCTAGAAAACAAAAGCAGGGATAAATGATAGAAGTTACGTGCGGCACATGAATAAACGGGAACTTTCTGGAGGACCGTGACCGAGCGTTGCTTTCTCAGCCTTGCGCGCGGCAGTATGCCTACCCCAGTCCCCTTTCTCGTAGAGAGCATTTAAATGGACTGACGGATGGTTCCTCCCCGAATATTTATCGAATGTATCGTTTGAGAATAATAAGATAAATAATAAAAAGTGTCTACGTTTCCTTTCATGTTATGCAAACATTACTGAGTATTTTCTAAACTCTGGAAGAAAAATAAAATAAAATAAAAACTTCTTTATACGTTATTTGTTTGCAATGTTTGAAAATTTTGTACTGAATTCGGGCAAGACATATACTCTTCGAATTTGAACTTCGTCGAATTTCGACAAAAGTTTGAGATTTGGCCAAATCCTCAGGTTCGATCGGTTTGACTGTAATCATGTTTGTTATGAAATGGATCCAAGACTGGCCAAAAATGTTAGGAATGAGTTATCCAGTATCTTTTTTTAATACGATTCAGCCTCGAACAAAATATTTGATTAATTTAGTTTGAAACGTTTGCGGCATTCCTAGCAATGACAGTGTGCACGCGTCGTGCTCTCATCATGAACTGGCGAATGAAACTTGGCTCCCGGACTTGTGTTTTGTTTCTCGCAGAGTGCAAGGATCCCAACGCCGATCCGGGCCGCGGCATGAAGAAGGCTGCCGGCGGCCTGGGCCGGTTGTTCCGCACACTGGGAAGCAAGAAGGACAAGTGCAAGACGTCTCCCCGACACCTCTCCGGGAGGCTTAGGCCGGCTGCCGGAACCTCGAGGACGGGGACGTCTTCGGGAAGGAGCACCACCGAAGGTGCGTCGACACCCGAGCTCTAGCACAATTACGTTGACTTTATCAGCCCTTTTCCGACTTTTGTTCGAAGGTCGTTTGTGTGTGTGTGTGTGTGTGTGTGTGTGTGTGTGTGTGTGTGTGTGTGTGTGTGTGTGTGTGTGTGTGCGCGTGCGCGTGCGTGCGTGCGTGCGTGCGTGCGTGTGTGTGTGTGTGTGTTTGTGTGTGTGTGCGCGTGTGCGTGTGTGTATATGTGGTGTGTGTGTGTGTGTGTGTTGATCCCCAGGCTTCGTTTTTCCCCAGAAAATGCGCGAGTTATTTCCCCAGAAATTTGTCCGTCCCTACTTCCTATGCGTGCGCGCATAAATTTACCCGCTACATTTTGGGGGAATCGGCGTCACGTTACCCGACGTTGCAGGACGTGGTCATATGATGTGACGTCACGCTGTCAGGTAATGATTACACGTGATGCCGTGACGTCACGTGGCCTGATGGCACGTGACGCCAATTTACTCGCTAAATTTTCCGAGGAAATTAATAAAAACAAATTGCTTTTCACTCGCCGAAACGACTTTCTTAAGGAAATTTAAACGGCATTTCCCTAAATACTGCGTTTCATGCAGTATATGAATTATGTGATAACTTTGGAGGTTGCTGGAAATGTTTTGTTCAAAGTTTATACACCAGCAACGTATATGTGTACGTCCTCCGCAGATTGTGTGGCATTTGAAAGCTTCGAAAACAATGACTTAAGATATTTTCAAAGTATGGCTGTGCCTTTTGACACACTGGAGGTGGCCGTCATGATTGTTTTGTTAAAGCTGTGGAAGTTGACGTGGTTTTACCTCAATAAATATCTTTCATCAAACCCATCGGTATACAATGAAAAGCTTAAACACACCGGGGTTGTTACGTCCGTTCCAGCGGCTGGTCCCTGGTCGTCTGCTTCTTCGGCGATAACTTCCTCGGAGGGACCCGAGTTGTTTAGTCTGGCGCACTTTAGCTGCCGCAAAGCAGCATAAGTGTCCGCTATTTATTTTAGTTATGCGGATCACAACACTAATCATGGAACCCAATCAAAACTATGCCAGAACGCTCTAAACGAGTTATTATCGCACTGTTGACTGCGCGTCATTCCGAGATTCCGGCGTTTCATAATGACGCGCTTCATGGTCCGTGACGTCATTTCCAGATGAAATGACGCCACAAGTCGCGAAGCGCGGCCGCCCAAACAATTACGACGTTGTGCATCTGCGGATAAGACCGAGAAAACAAAGCCTCCACCGCATCGCTCTATTCTAACACAGAATGCGTTAATACAACCGCTTTCATGAAAACGGTAACGCTTGACCGTTATTACATATTGGCCCCTTGGCGGCCATTTTAGAGCACGAATACAAGAATACTCCCGGCGGGGATTGAACCTGGGACCAATTGGAGCTTGCAAAGCAGGTATGTAGAAACGGCTGACGGTTAGCCTATAAAGTTAAAGATTTACACTAGATTGATATGTTTGACGAAGCCTATGGGGACCATACCTCGGCAAACCTCACTCATGAGGGCCCTCACTCACCCTCACTCACCCTCATCTTCACAGGTGAGGTGAGGGTGAGTGAGTTTCTGAACTAGGAAAATTCATGAGTGTGAGGGTGAGTGAGGGCTGTGAGGGCTGTGAGGGCGGTGAGGGCCGTGAGGGCCGTGAGGGCGGTGAGGGCGGTGAGGGCCGTGAGGGCGGTGAGGGCGGTGAGGGCCGTGAGAGCCGTGAGGGCGGTGAGGGCCGTGAGGGCGGTGAGGGCCATGAGTGCGTGAGGGGCGTGAGGGCGGTGAGTGGCGTGAGTGCTATGAGTGCGTGAGTGGTGTGAGGGCGGTAAATGCGTGAGGGGTGTGAGGGCCACGAGTGCGTGAGGGCAGTGAGTGGCATGAGAGGCGTGAGGGCCATGAGGGCCGTGAGGGCCGTGAGGGCGGTCAGTGCATGAGGTGTGTGAGGGCCATGAGTGCGTGAGGGCGGTGAGTGCGTGAGGCCCCCTTCAGATCGAGCATCTTTCTCAGCAATTTTGGTGTTAATGGTGGGTTGTTCTCTAGCTTTCCCTAGATCGACAAATTGCTGAGATCGGGTCCGGCTCGAAATAAGCAAGCAATTCGGAGCAATTCGAATACGTTTGAAGCGGCTGCATCCAATCAGGGACGCAAAATTTTCACGCGATACCTCGTGCCGGTGATGATGACACCGAATGACTTGGTTCTGGTTTGAAATCGATCAATTTATTGGAAATAAACTGTTTCAGAAAGGTGCATTAGTATTCTTAACGAGGTTTAAATGCATAAAAACACGTTTATAACGCGTAATTGTGTCTAAATAGTGCAAGAAAAATAAAATGTTATGATGACGATGGCAAATTGCAGCAATTGGTTGCTGCGTGTGATCGCGGGCGGCCCGTGTTGCTGGTGTTGCGACGTAAAGTTTCTGGGCGAAATTGCCCCATCTGAAGCTGGCCTGAGTGGCGTGAGGGCCATGAGTGCGTGAGGGGCGTGAGGGGTGTGAGGGCCGCATGGGCGGTGAGGGGCGTGAGGGCGGTGAATGGCGTGAGGGCGGTGAGTGGCGTGAGGGCGGTGAGTGGCGTGAGGGCGGTGAGGGCGGTGAGGGCCGTGAGGGCCGTGAGTGCGGTGAGGGCGGTGAGGGCCGTGAGGGCGGTGAGTGGCGTGAGGGCGGTGAGTGGCGTGAGGGCTGTGAGGGCCGTGAGGGCGGTGAGGGCGGTGAGGTCCGTGAGGTCCGTGAGGGCGGTGAGGGCCGTGAGGGCGGTGAGGGCCGTGAGGGCCGTGAGGGCCGTGAGGGCGGTGAGTGGCGTGAGGGCTATGAGTGCGTGAGGGCCGTGAGGGCGGTGAGGGCGGTGAGTGGCGTGAGGGCTATGAGTGCGTGAGGGCGATGAGTGTCGTGAGGGCCATGAGTGAGTGAGGGGCGTGAGGGCGGTGAGGGGCGTGAGGGCCGTGAGGGCGGTGAGTGCGTGAGGGCCGTGAGGTTCAGTGAGGGTGAGTGAAGGGCTGAAGGTGAGTGTGATTGTGAGGGTGAGGGTGAGTGAGGGGCTGAAGGTGAGTGTAGCTATGAGGGTGAGGGTGAGTGAGGGGCTTAGGTGAGCGTGGCTGTGAGGGTGAGGGTGAGTGAGGGCGACCTAAAATGCCGACCTCTGATGGGGACACATAATGTGTTGAGGTATACCATATACATGAAGTGTGTAGTTGGACTAGCCCTGCACACATATAAGCCCCTTCCTCCATGACACACAGACAACATGAATAACCCGCACACTTTATGGGTATGGTAGCGCAACATATTCTGCGTCTCCCGGTCTTTGTCAGAATGATGTAGTTAGCGTAATTATGACGCCTGGAACGCGTCTCCAACTAATGTGTTCAGCGGTCCCTCGATTGGTGCCCGATGACGTCACAGAAGTGTCACGCTGTCGCCGGCCGCGATCCTGGCGGTGTCACAGGGGCGATGGTGGACGTGGCAGAGGCCCGACCTGCTGCAGGTCGCTCTCCAGCTTGACAGTCCACGGAAGCTTTGGCAGTCAGCAGTTGGGACGCCGTGAAGACCGCTACACTCGCGTTTGCTTGCGCTTTTTTGCAGGAACTTCTACGACCGACCACTAGGATCGCGACATCCGACAGCATGACACTTCGGCTTCCGTGACGTCATTTGTTGCCACTTCAAGACCACTTTCGATGTGTAGTATGCGAAATAGAACGCTAAACACACCTGTCGGGGACGCGTCCACCAGGGACCGTAGTTAAATATTTTGGGTCCACGTAACCGCCATCATGGTTGTCCTCCCTGGTACGTGATGTTGACCCGGCATCCCGGATTACAACAATCGAAACCGGGTGCACTAAGCAGAAACTATGCGACAATGAATAGAGAAGTTCCTTCGATATACCGCCCAAAACGTCCCACGTGGAATGCATTAGCGATAGGAATGCAAATCTGGAAAGCGTGACGTCACGCTACCCCGCGACATCACGGCGTCTTATCGTGGTGTGGCGTGGCGCCGTGACGACGCGCCACATGGTTACGTCGCGTGACGCCACGGTAAACTACGGTGGTCCGAACCAGACGCTAAAGTCTCAAAACTAATCGTTACCTTCAATCAAAAGGTATAAGGAATCTAAAATTTCAGTGGGAAAATGGGACCCATTTTCGCCCGTTTTCGGTAACTGGCGCCACAGAGCTCCTTGTGTTCTAGAGCTCTGTCGGCCGCCGAAAATCACTTCTAACGTTTGAAGAATATAACGGTTAGTTTTGAAACTTTGGCATCTGGTTGGGACCCCTAGCCCTACATTTGGGCGGAGAATGAGCGTATGAGCGTTCGGAGATCTGTAGTGTATTTTTGCAGCGAAAAACAAACAAACAAAACCCCTGTTAATCTTTTTGGGATCCCCTGTAGATCTAATAACGTTGTTGACAATGTGACGTCATGTGATGTCACGAGATCGCCCTAGGAGTAACGTTATACCGTTAGGTCACGTGACACGACGATGTGGCACCACGTGACCTTACGCCGCCACCTGACCCGCAGTGGCCTATCTACCCCGTGACCCACACTGGCGTCCCTCTAAATTCAGCAGAACGTTTGCCCGCTATATTTATGCACTAATAAAATATTTCAGTGACTTCGCGTATTCCAGTGATTTGTGTCCCATGGTTAGTGACCACTAATCATGGTACGTATACGCTTTATTTAGATGAAAATATAAACTCTCAACAGAAAATTTGATTTCTCCAATTATTTAAGTGTTTAGGTCTCGTCAACTGAACTCACGCTCACCGATCACGTGTCTGAGTATCGGGCGATTTTTTGGATTTTCGTTTTGTTCTCTATTAGCAAAAAAAGAAGAAAAAAAAAAGAAAACGAAAAACAAACGTGGTGCTGTGAAAGGTATGATGGATTGGAATGGAACACACACTGAACCCTGGTGAGCAGCACCAGCAGCGTTACATGGATGCAGGGTGGAACTTGTCCCACACCGCA